GATGGCAAAGAAAGTTATCGAGAGAAAGTTGATATTTATTATTTATGTGCTATGCTATTCGATGGATAGAAGCAGATACTAGAAGTCTCATTTTGTGCATTGCGATTATCCATATATATAATGATAGCTTCTGTAGTTTCATGGTTCATGCAGTATCAACGGATTCTATGATTCTATCACCGCATGAAAACGTTTTCTCCCGGAAAATTCACTCTCCGAGATGCAGGGCATGTAAGCGGGGACTGTAACAGGAGTCATCTTGTTTATCAATCGATGATTTTCTTTCTGTTTATACCTCATATGCTGTTGCCTATCGTGGGCATGCTACTGCATGCCAAAGATCTGGCCCAACTTTCTGACTGGTGACCGCTCACACCTGGTCGTGTCGCAGCTGGAACTTTGTCTTTTTTACAGTGAAAGGCTATCTTAAAACAAGATGATCATGCACTGTTCAGTTCAGTTCGCTGGATTTTAAAAGTTTAAAAAGAACATGGAATGTTGATGATTTTTTTCCCTTCTCTCAACGGTGCCGGCCGCGTTAATGATTTTCTTACTATCAAGAAATAAAAAAAATATTTATTAGAAAAAAAGTTGAATATTTATTCCCAATTGAAATTGGCTAAAGTTTTAATTGGTTTAAACATATAAAATTAAATTAAATTTTATCAAATTAAATATTAACTCAACAATATTAACTCAATACTAAAATTTATTTTTAATATTATAAAAACCTTATATAAAATCAATTGAAATAAAATATAAAATTTAATCTTAACGTGAAAAGATGGTTTGTCTTACTTTTATATTGCATTCTTATTATTTGATGGTTTGTCTTACTTTTATATTGCATTTTTATTATTTTTTAATATTTATTTTATCTCTTTTAATATTTATTTCATCTTATATTGTGTTGCATGCTATAATTTCAAACACCATTTCATGATCCACCAGCATGAGTTTTATGAAATTTAATTATAATCATTGAAAGAACCTATTGAAAAAAAGGAAGGATACAAAAGTGGTTCACCGTTCATTCGAACAACATTTCCATCCCAAATGTTTTAATGTTTTTAGTAACACAAACATACTAGTTAATGGCTATCACTCAGCTACAAATCATACCAAAACAGGCTAAACATGTATTTCGGCTTGTGCACTTGACCTATGAAAAAAAAACTTGACTTACATTTAAGGTCGTATTACCAGTCCATGTTTTTTTTATAATAAAAAAAATATATATCATCTACAATCCTAGAATCCAGCGATTAAAATGTCGTTGGAAAATCATGGGAGTTTTTTATGTTTAAAACCTTGTTTTTCAATTAATTTTTGTTCAAAAGACCTAAAAAATACACTGGAGGCATTGATTAACCCATTAATGACTCTAAAAAACCTACAAATAAGTTCTAAAATCAAAATCAACCAAAATCCAGAAAAAAATCTCAATTTTAGATCTACCATCTTAGACAATATTGATGGCAAACAACAACTCAATGAAACTCCTCTCATCTAATAGAACTCTTTGACACTAAAATTGATTATTTTAGTGGTAAGAATAAATGTCAATCAATTTTCTTTTTATTGACTATCGGAATCTGACAACTCTCTCTCTTCTTTCAAATTATGAACTAAAAAATAATAAAAATAAAGTTTTGTAATAGTATTGAGTTTTTAAAAGCATAAGGGGCTGAAATTGTATCATTTGAAAAATTGGAGGACTAAAGTTAACTTTTCATATCAATTTTGAAATCTCGCCTATTTTCGGTTCCTTTTCCACTTTGATCTTCATTCTTTCAATTTTGTTATTGGTTAATAAATAGGAAGCAATTGTTTTTAAATTTTGCAATTTAAGGAATCTATCTATAGGAAAAAAACTTTAAGGATTTAAATAAAAAAATAAAACATACTACTCTAGACCAGTACACAATGACATGTGAGAGAATATACAGAACAATGAAAATGTTTATGAATTGCCTTTTAATTTATTTTTAATATAATAAAGCTATGATTATAATATTGAATGAAGGGATAAAATCGATCCACCTAGGATTAATGAAAACTTTCTTCTTTGTTTGGCCTCCCATGTATTATATAGTTTACATCTAGCATATTATTATATCAACTGGATCAAAAATCATATTTTTAAATTAAAATTTGATTAGATTTTTATATACTAATTTGAATTGCGTGTGTGTATTAGTCTACAAATCATTTAATGGGGGCATAAAAGCGAGCCACCTAAGATTAAATCTTCATGTAATATTTAGTTGACACCGACATATCATTATACCAATTAGATTAGAAACTGTATTTTTAAATTATAATTTGATTAAAAAACAATATATTAATTTGACTTATATATATCAATTAAAGTAAAATAATATTTTTAAATCAATTAGAATAGAAATCATTTAATTATGAACCATGTTATTAAACAATATAAAACAGTATAAATTAATTTGAGTAGGGCTGTGTACTCAAAGTAGATTAGTAATCATATTTATAAATTAAAATGAAATATATTCATTATAAAATACAAACAGAGAGAAAGTCAGTTCTACTATAACATCTGCTTTTGTAGAATTTATCTTACAAGCTTTATACTGATGTTTATGGAATCATTAAAATGATAATATAGCCTATAAAATAAAACAAAACAATAGCATTTAATTATGTTATTTAGGGTAAGGTGAGATGGCGGGCTAGAGACAGTTAAAATTAAATCATTATCTTTGTATATTATCATAATAATATTATTAAAAATATTGATATAAATTATATACACAATATTCAACCCACTTGGCAAGCGTGCACAACCATTTTTGTTTACATTATTTAAAAAGCATGGAAAACTTAAACTTGGCCCTTCTAGTTTTAATTTCTTTCATTGTTTAATCCTTGTTCTTTTAGAATCTTACAGTTTGATGCTAAACTTTATTTTTTTCATGTTTAAGTTCTTGAATATTGATAAATAAGAGAGAGCTACAAAAAAGATAAAGTAGAGAAAAACTAATTGGTTGATAATATAATATTCTTTCGATTAAAAAGCCGATATTCATGTTAATGAATTTAATTTAGAGAGGAGAGTTTAATGGAAATGATTTTGATCTTCATACATGCTAGAAATAGCATATCAAGACTCATAATTTTTGTTTTGGTTTAGTTTGATTTACAGTTCTAAACTAATTAAAGGATATTTTAGAGTTGAAAATAACTTTATAAAGTTTTTAGAATTTTCATGAAGCATTTTTAGTTAAAACAACTTGAAGCTTGGATTTTTGAGGTTTTAAAACTTTGGCTCTAATTTTTTAGCACCAACAATGGTAAGAATTTGAATAAGAATATGATTTTTTTGTTATTATAAATGGATTAAATGGATGACCTATCATCTATTCTATTAAGAAAAATTTGAGTGAAAGATGATTTGTTTGTCGGTTTAAAAAAACAAAAAAAAGCACATTGTGTTGTTTGTCGGTTTAAAAAAACAAAAAAAGCACATTGTGCAAGTCTAGTAACTATTAGATGCACTTGCTCGTCCTTGAATTAAGTGTAAAAACAATTATATAAGTATATAAAAATGATTGATTCATAATTTTTTTTAAGTTTTTTATTGAAATTTTTTTATAATAATAATAAATTTTTATTAAAAAAACAATCTTATAGTAAAAATATATGTTTTTTTGTCAAAATAAAAAAAGAAATACATAAATAAAAAAAGAGACTTTTGATAAAAAGATAAAAAAAAATTTCATCACAAATCATTAGAATTTGAAAAAGCATGTTCCGGTGGGTATCCATGTGAATTTGTTTGAGATCAAATTTCTCTTCCATATATATAAATTAATTGAATGGTTCAACAAATAAGGATGGTTAATATATACAAAAACATCATGTCAAATATATACTGGAAACTCATTTGATGTAGTCTCTAATAATGATATATCATTGATAAAATTCTAAAGTTTTCTAAATGGAAAATAAGATAAAATAACTTAATTTACTCCCAATTTGGAAAATATTATAAAAATAGGAAACTAGTTTCAAGGCATGGGGTGTGGCTTTTGGCTGTCACGAAAGTAAACATCTATTCCTCCATTGTAGCACCATGGGGGGATTCCCGTATCATAAGTTATGCAACTGTCATGGCCTCCTTAGAGAACTGCCTCGAATGCTCGTGTTGAATTTGGGTTTTGGGGTCCATATGCCCAGACTAGTTGTTTTTTTTTTAATGAATTCACATGCCCAGATCTTATATTCAGTCTTTCACCTTTGCTTCTCTTGTTAGAGAAGACGAGGGAAGTGTCTTTCTGTGTTTTTTTTTATAAAAAAAAATAGATTTTGGTCATTTTTTATTGAACATATTTTCAATTCACAATTTTATAAAAATTATATATGAAAAATTATTTTAAAATTATGATTAAAAATAAAAAAAATGCTTTGTATAAATCATTTCAAATGTTTAATACATCAAATCAAGTTAATTCATATTATAGCGGACAGGCAGGGCACCTCAAATTGATGAGAGCCAGGAATTTATTTATTTTCTTCCTTTTGGGTGACACTCAAAACAAAGTCTTATAAAAAGATTGGTTTTTAGTTGGTAAAAGGCAACATGGATGCTATGACACCCAATTGCCTGTTCCAGTAGGTAGCACCTGCACACTATTAAAATGCAACATCTATGCTATGACAAGATTGGTTTTCAAGTTTTTCATTTAGGTCTTACATTTTGTTTTTTAAGGTTTAAGTTCTTAGCTCTTAAGAGAGGAGAGAGCAAAACACCAAAAATTTTAAGGAGAGAAAGGTCTTAGATGATTGGGTTATGATGACTAATAATTTTGATTTTGGTATTTATAAATTAGACTTTAAGAGAGTAATTCAATAAAGATATTTTCACCTTCAGTTAGATTTTGAGTTTGTAAACCAATTAGAATGTGTTTTGTTGTTAGAAATGAAATTATAGAGTTTCATGATATATTTTGAGGTGGAAAATAGTTAGAATATGGGTTATTAGGATCCAAAAAGTTGGACCTTGATTTTCCGGGAATTGAAGACAACTTCAATGATTGAGATCCAAAATGCTGGACCTTAAGCCTCTCTCTTCGTTTTCCGGTAAACTTGAACTTGCTCTCTCTTCGTTTTCCGGTAAACTTGAATTTGTCTTTTTTTTTTTTAGATTAATCTGGGTGTTCGGGTCAGCTTGCACGCACCACGACTAATCCCACGGGCCCTGAAGTTAACGACCATGTAAGCCTCCAGTGGCCATCATATGAGCAACCAAGGACTCGAACCTGAGACCACAGAGGGAGCAAACCCCTTAATCCCAAGTCTTTACCACTTGGCCACTACCTAGATGGTTATTGTATATTAGGGAGAAAAGTTGTTTCTAACCATTAGATCTTCTGACTGAGGAATTGGGACAATCCCTACGAGTACCAACTTTATTAATATCAGCGATGATAGGGTGATTCTTGATAATTAAGGCCATAGCTGATCCTTGGAGGTAAGATTACCGGTGTGTGCTTTCTGATATGGTTTCTTTATCGTGACAGGAAAATAAACAATGCAATAATAGGAGGAGTGAAGATGAATCCACCGAAAGCCATCCTTCGGGAACAAGCATTCTTCAATGATGAACCCAAAAAGGATATATGCTAATGGTCCAACTTCTTGAGTGGAAGTGACTACAACTGCAATGTCCGGCTAGCTGGTTAGTGGATTAGATTCATGGGGAAGTGGAATAAGGCCACATGCAGCCAAAATTCTTCCCTAAATATTTGAATCTCTGTGTCTTCTTATGCACTAACTTGCCCCCACAACCCACATGTATAATGGGATGATGAATATTTTTTTATATATAAAAATGGATATCTAATAAGTTTGACTATACAACTAGTTCATGTTTTTTATACCAACACATTCCTGAGGTAATTCTATTGAATTTATATTGAGACCATGCCTTCATAAGTAAGATTAATCAGACATAAATATGTTAGGTTTTTTTGTAATATAAAAAAATCAAATATTAAAATGTAAGAATAAACATTACATGCTTGTTTTTTACCAAGAGGGAAAAGAAGAAGAAGAGAGAAAGAATATCACATGTTTAATTGTTCTTTCATTTGTATTACTCTCTTGTAATCTGATGTTTCATCCTGCAAGTTGTAGATTCTTGATTACATCTCTATTAATACTGTTGCTAATAACTTACTTCAATGTCACTACTCTGATGCTACAGTCGGAGTTTGGAGTGAAGAAACATCATCTTCTATAATTGATGAGAAATATGTTTCTTTTTTATGATTTTTTAGTGAGTTTTGTTGCGTTATTGTATCAAAATTACTATATGATACATAAAGCCTTTTTTATTTTTTGCCCCTTTGTCTCAATTTTTCAAACTGAGTTTAGGACTATTCAGTTGTCTGTTGATTAGACGGACTCTGTAACCCAAGCTACCGTTGACTATCTTTGGATATCAGTTGCGTACATGAAAAATATATATATCTTCATTACTGGGTTTTGAACATTTTGCTTACTAAATTGCCTGTGGTTCACCTGCTATTAGAAAAATATAGCTTCTCTATAAGATGATGGCTCATCTCGCCATCCATGGTTGTTAGGCTCTCGCTGTCTAAATGCTTTGTTTGAGCCACCTTGGAGGCCTGTTATCAGGTAGATTTAGATAATAGGCTGTCAGGGTAGCCTATAGTCCAGATTAAATATGAAGGAAGCTTCAGGTGTCTGTGTTTCAATGAGACCCAGACAGGATTTCAGAGTTCTTCAGGTTGCTCAAAGTAGTTTCAGACAGGCTCATCATCTGTTTAGCTGTATTTCTGATCAAAATCAGAAAAGAAGCATTCAGGAAGTAAGCCTGATTGCTCAAGATACAGTAAATGAATTCAGAAATCTAGTTAGACTCCTTGATGTATCAGAGCAGTCAGGGTGTAAGAGAATCAGGAAAGGTCCTTTGCCACATTCCCACGATATAAACCCAGTTGAATTGATGGATAGTCCCAACTCTGTGTCTAGAAGCCCTGACCACAACTTTTCTCAACCCAATAGGCAGCTATTCCCTATTCAGAGTATTCAGTCAACTACTTCTTTGATCCATGCCAATAGTATCGACTTGTATAGGGAAAAACAGAAGACTAAAGACAACGTAGACGTCAAAACTAATTTGATCCTGGGGTTCAACCTTTCCCTCTTACAGCCAAGCACATCCTTTTCAAGTTTAGATGGAGGTGGCAGGATAATTCATCATTCAACATCAGAAATTCTTCCTTCTCAAGATGATGCCTCTATATTTTCCGAGAGCAAGAGCGGAGTGAAAAGTGAGGAGAAATGCCTAGCCTCAACCGGTGGATGTCACTGCTCAAAGCGAAGGTAAGTCCTTGTTTTGATTTGTCATGTATTCTATCTATACTAATTTGTTTCTTTCTGAATTGACTTTAAATAGTGAGGAAACTATGGGATTGTGATTTTGGGAGATACTCCTTTTCAGACTTTTACTTCATGTTATAATGATAGTTTTCATGATATCATCTTGTACTTAATTTTGTTCAAGAATCAAAATGTTTCCATCTGTTGTCGAGGAAATATTCTAATTCCATCTTCGATTTATTATCTAATAGGAAATTGAGGATCAAGAAAGTAATTAAGGTCCCTGCTTCAAGAACTAAACCAGCTGACATACCTCCTGATGATCACTATTGGAGAAAATATGGACAGAAGCCAATAAAAGGATCTCCATATCCCAGGTACTTTTCCATCCTGACATTGCCTTCTGCCAATTCTCTTTCGTTTCTGGGAGAGGGAAACTTCTGAGATTGTTTTTTTTCCCTTTAGTTGTGTAGAACCTTAAATTCATTCTTTCCCTGTATTCAATTAACCCAAAATATCACAATACAAAATCAAACAGGATAGACTGGACTAGCTCATCATTTCTCTTCATGCTTACCATCTGTGATTTATGAAGCTTGAGACAAATTATTACTGTTTTCTTCCTTTTGCCCCCAAAGCAACGTTCCAGACAAAGCCGTACTTGTATTGGCAGTCACAAGTTCACATGTTTGCGTATCTAAGAGCAAAGCCACCTGGACAAGTTATATTGCTTACTCACATCTTTCATTCTTTGGTGTCAAAGAAGCTACTACAAATGCAGCAGTACGAGGGGATGCCCTGCGAGAAAACATGTAGAAAGAAGCTTGGAGGATCCTACCATGTTAGTTGTGACTTATGAAGGGGAACATAATCACTCCAAAATTCAATCTCCCAATCCCGACATCATGCTTCATATTTAACAATAAAAGCAAACCAAAGGACACGCGTATTTTCCTAGCTGGAACTGATCGTGCACCTGCAAGCTAAGGTGAACCTTCTGCGGCTTCATGTTTCCTTAAAAAGAGATCATGTCACTCCTTTAAGGCTCGTTATTTTTAACTTTCAGTCTATATGCTTCTCCAGCAATGCTTTTGCAGGTCTACTTGTATATATGCATTCTCAAGATTTCCTAATAAAGGTTGATTAATTTGCTTTGTGCATGACTGATTGATTCTAGTTTGGTTTTCCAATATCTTTCACTTCAAAAGAAAGACTCAACCAGGAGTTGTCTTGTGCCTTCCGAAATTTACCATGAAAAATCATTTTTTGAACCTTATTTTGATTGTTTAGCTCCTATGTCATACCTGCAGTGTTTGTTTTTCAGGAGCTCTCAATCTCATCAGTATTCATCACAACACACATGGCCTGATCAAGCATCAAATGCTTGGAGAGTCTCTCTTGAAAAAAATTCTTATAATGCATACTTACAGTAATTTAGAAAAGGGCCACACGACTCCTCTGGCCCAACACAATTTTTGCCACAAACAGACAAACCTTCATGCTCTTCTTGACTCGTAGATAGGGTGCTTATCCAATAATCTGTCCACCATCTTTTACGTTTCAATACAGAATTTGGTTTGATTTATAATGCTCAAGGTACATGACTGCATGTCCACAATGACAAGACAAGCAAAAATGACAATGGCTAGAAAAACGACTTCTCCTCATTGTAGCTCAGGTGGGCTCCAAAAGATTTGCTCAGGCCCAACTTGTACTGTCCCCAGTTGGCGAGGCCTCTTCTGCACTATTTTCCACTTTCCTTGAACCAAGAAAGTGAAAATATAACCAAGAGTTCACCTCCTTGTTAGAGCTCTCCATTTTCTGAACTCGATTTCATATTATATTTTGTTTAGGAGAAGGGTCGCTACGCCAAATTATTTAGATTTAACAAGTTCTCGATGCCTGCGGAATATTCTAGGTTAGATTCCAAGCTAAGTTACAATGCAATAACGTTAACTAAAGACTAAAGGAAAGAGTTGACATTTATTCTAAAACGTAAAAAATACATACACGTGTTGGGTAGTTTTTTTTTTTACTTTAATTGTTGAAAAAATGATATTTGTAAAAAAGATAATGATTTAGATTTTGAGAAAACAATAAATTTTAGTCAAAATTCTCTTTTCTTATTAATATTTTTTTTTAGAAAAATATATTTTTTAATAGTAGTTATTAAATAAAAACTAGGGGCAATTAAAATAAAAATTATATTAATTTGAGATAAGAACTAAAAAATGCATCTCATTAATCAAAATTTCCTTTTTTATTCATTTTTTCTTATAAAAATTATCTTTTTTAAATAAGCATTTTTTTTAAATTAAAACTTATCATAATATTAAAAGAAAGATTGAATATAAAAGATTATAAATCAATAATTTCAGCATTAAATATATAAAAAAAAAATCCAAGAAAAACCATATAAAATATTTACAACAAAAAATAATTAAATTGATATTTTATTTGCATTAAATATACATGAATGAAATTTCTTTAAAAACAAACTAGGCATGTTAGGTCTATATATAATTATCAAAAACATAATCATTAATATTGTCATAAAAAACTCTAATATTATTTAAAATTTATTTCATAATAAGATAACTATTTATATATTATTTTAATAAACTTGTTTAAGGTAAATACAATTATAAAATATAAAAACATAAAAAAAATTAAAAAAAAATCATACAAGATTTAGTCAGAAAAACTAGCCTGTATATTTGGCCTAAAAGTATTAAGCCCATATGCTTTTGGCCATATAAATCATGCCCATGCACATAGTTTTTTCTTATGATATTTTATTAACTTCTGCTTTTGTTTTTAAAATAATATAGATAACACATTATTTATAGGGATAAATGATATGCCATTCATTTTAAATATTTTTTAACCATTGAAGCTATCTCAATAACTGGAAAATAATGGTCAAAGGTATTTATCCTATAAAACAAAATTTCAAGTATTTTTGACACAAAAATATAAAAAAGGCATCAATTTGACCTCTAAAACCTCATTATTAAAAAAACACATTTTAATTGGACAAGAGACTCAAGATTTAAAAAAAAATTCAAGTCTTTGTCTACTTTGTTAGGTATCATTAAAGGTGGGAATCATCTTTACCGAGCTTGGAGGATCCTACCATGTTAGTTGTGACTTATGAAGGGGAACATAATCACTCCAAAATTCAATCTCCCAATCCCGACATCATGCTTCATATTTAACAATAAAAGCAAACCAAAGGACACGCGTATTTTCCTAGCTGGAACTGATCGTGCACCTGCAAGCTAAGGTGAACCTTCTGCGGCTTCATGTTTCCTTAAAAAGAGATCATGTCACTCCTTTAAGGCTCGTTATTTTTAACTTTCAGTCTATATGCTTCTCCAGCAATGCTTTTGCAGGTCTACTTGTATATATGCATTCTCAAGATTTCCTAATAAAGGTTGATTAATTTGCTTTATGCATGACTGATTGATTCTAGTTTGGTTTTCCAATATCTTTCACTTCAAAAGAAAGACTCAACCAGGAGTTGTCTTGTGCCTTCCGAAATTTACCATGAAAAATCATTTTTTGAACCTTATTTTGATTGTTTAGCTCCTATGTCATACCTGCAGTGTTTGTTTTTCAGGAGCTCTCAATCTCATCAGTATTCATCACAACACACATGGCCTGATCAAGCATCAAATGCTTGGAGAGTCTCTCTTGAAAAAAATTCTTATAATGCATACTTACAGTAATTTAGAAAAGGGCCACACGACTCCTCTGGCCCAACACAATTTTTGCCACAAACAGACAAACCTTCATGCTCTTCTTGACTCGTAGATAGGGTGCTTATCCAATAATCTGTCCACCATCTTTTACGTTTCAATACAGAATTTGGTTTGATTTATAATGCTCAAGGTACATGACTGCATGTCCACAATGACAAGACAAGCAAAAATGACAATGGCTAGAAAAACGACTTCTCCTCATTGTAGCTCAGGTGGGCTCCAAAAGATTTGCTCAGGCCCAACTTGTACTGTCCCCAGTTGGCGAGGCCTCTTCTGCACTATTTTCCACTTTCCTTGAACCAAGAAAGTGAAAATATAACCAAGAGTTCACCTCCTTGTTAGAGCTCTCCATTTTCTGAACTCGATTTCATATTATATTTTGTTTAGGAGAAGGGTCGCTACGCCAAATTATTTAGATTTAACAAGTTCTCGATGCCTGCGGAATATTCTAGGTTAGATTCCAAGCTAAGTTACAATGCAATAACGTTAACTAAAGACTAAAGGAAAGAGTTGACATTTATTCTAAAACGTAAAAAATACATACACGTGTTGGGTAGTTTTTTTTTTTACTTTAATTGTTGAAAAAATGATATTTGTAAAAAAGATAATGATTTAGATTTTGAGAAAACAATAAATTTTAGTCAAAATTCTCTTTTCTTATTAATATTTTTTTTTAGAAAAATATATTTTTTAATAGTAGTTATTAAATAAAAACTAGGGGCAATTAAAATAAAAATTATATTAATTTGAGATAAGAACTAAAAAATGCATCTCATTAATCAAAATTTCCTTTTTTATTCATTTTTTCTTATAAAAATTATCTTTTTTAAATAAGCATTTTTTTTAAATTAAAACTTATCATAATATTAAAAGAAAGATTGAATATAAAAGATTATAAATCAATAATTTCAGCATTAAATATATAAAAAAAAAATCCAAGAAAAACCATATAAAATATTTACAACAAAAAATAATTAAATTGATATTTTATTTGCATTAAATATACATGAATGAAATTTCTTTAAAAACAAACTAGGCATGTTAGGTCTATATATAATTATCAAAAACATAATCATTAATATTGTCATAAAAAACTCTAATATTATTTAAAATTTATTTCATAATAAGATAACTATTTATATATTATTTTAATAAACTTGTTTAAGGTAAATACAATTATAAAATATAAAAACATAAAAAAAATTAAAAAAAAATCATACAAGATTTAGTCAGAAAAACTAGCCTGTATATTTGGCCTAAAAGTATTAAGCCCATATGCTTTTGGCCATATAAATCATGCCCATGCACATAGTTTTTTCTTATGATATTTTATTAACTTCTGCTTTTGTTTTTAAAATAATATAGATAACACATTATTTATAGGGATAAATGATATGCCATTCATTTTAAATATTTTTTAACCATTGAAGCTATCTCAATAACTGGAAAATAATGGTCAAAGGTATTTATCCTATAAAACAAAATTTCAAGTATTTTTGACACAAAAATATAAAAAAGGCATCAATTTGACCTCTAAAACCTCATTATTAAAAAAACACATTTTAATTGGACAAGAGACTCAAGATTTAAAAAAAAATTCAAGTCTTTGTCTACTTTGTTAGGTATCATTAAAGGTGGGAATCATCTTTACCGAGTTCTTATCTTAAAGGTGAATCTACATGTATTAAAATTACATTTATTTGTGACTAGGATTTTATTATTCAAAAACTTCCTTTTTTTTTTCCAACAACTTTCTTTTTCGTCTCTAGATATCTAGGGATTGAAACACGAGAAAAATAAACTTATGGACTGAAGTATAAAAAGTTAAAAGATTAGGGACCGGGAATGGAAAAATAAAACTTAAGGGATAAAAGTGAACATGTCTAAGCCATTTGAACAAGGAACATATAAAGAGGGTCATTTTTTAAAATTTTGATTTGTCATGACTTGCTTTTTACCCCATTTCCAAATGTATATTTTTAAAATGAAAAATACAAAAATGTTTTTTAAAAATACATTTTCAATACCATTTGGTCAATTTCCTGTTATTTTGTAATTTCTTACTCTTTCGCTTATTTTTTTTGTATTTAAAAATCTCCTAAAAATAAAAAATAAAAGGAAAAAACAACAAGAAAATATTAATGACTGAAATGATAATCAAGTACAAAAAAAGGGGTCAAAATAAAAATATTTTTTAAAAACCCTTCTCAAATCAATTAAAGGATTAAAGAGTAAATATAGAAATAAATAAAAAAGAAAAAAAAGTTGTGAAAGATTGGAGAATGTGAGATAATAAAAGAGAATAAAAATGAAGGAGAGTATAAATAGAGGTATACTTACATATAAGCAAAAGGGAGAGGGAATAAAAAATTTAGTGGATTTTGACAAAAAAAAATAGAGTGAGAGAAAAGGAAAATAAAGTGAGAGAAAAGAAAGAGTAAAATTAAAGAGAGCGAGAGAGAAAAATTCAAAGAAAAAAATATTAGTTACAAAATAAATAAAAGGAAAGAACAAAAAAATTTTAACTCTAAAACTCTTTCTCTCTCTCTTTTTCTTTCAATCTTTCTCGCTCATTAAAGCTATCATTTTTATTGTGGATTATCGACAATTCCTCTATCCACTTGCCATAACACCGACCAATAGAGTAAGCCATCTTCTTTACCATTATGACAATTGTTGATCTCATTCACAACTTCATTTTTATACGGTGTCATTAACAATCTTATCATTTCTTACTAAAAACAAAATCATTAAAAACCACAATCAATTGACAGCAATAACTCCATCTCTAATCATTAAGAAATAATATAATTAATGAAGCAATATATAAAAAACAAAATAGAAAAACCAAAATAAGAAGAGAAAATTAAGAGAGAACAAGGAGGTGAGAAAACCCAAACTTAAAGTGTATTGATCTATTTGCTCATATAAAAGTGCATCTTATTATTGGTATAAAAAAAACAAGAAGTGAAACTACAACTAGTCAACCAAAAAACACAATTGATAGAGGCAATGTATGACACTATGTACCTGTAGAAGTGGCGGCATATAGACCATATGTTATAGTATTGCCGGAATCTCCATCTTTGTGAGTCTTGTTTTGGTAACTTCAGGTGACCTTAATAGCTTTAATTTTATTTATTTTCAATTATATCCTTAAAAATTATATTAACATAGTTGTATTTGCTCTTTTCTACTTATATTTGCATCTTCATTTGTGTTTGACTTGTTGTTAATCCAACATTGAAATAAAGATCAATTTTATAAAAAAATAATTCATGTTTGTCATATGGAACATCGATGCAAACTATATGTAAAAAGCGTTATGCAAACTAAAAAAAAAAAAAAGTCATCACTTTTTGATAACCAGAAACCTTAGCTAATTTTTAAAATTTCTAGGTAAGTTTCTTCATATTTGTTTATAATAATAAAGGTATTTAATTTTTTGATACATTAAAATTTTACCTAAATTAATGTATGTGTGTTTGTTATTAAAGATAAAATATCATTATAACATAATAATAATAAAGCTTAATCATCATTTTTAAAATACGAGTGTTAAATCTATAATAATGGTGAGTAAATGATAGACATATGCCCATTCAAGATTATATAGATTGAAATGAATCAAAAAATCACTGCATACACTTCATGGATCCATATGGGATCACACTTATTTAACTCAATTTCATTTGTTATATCAAACAAAGATATTCTGAAACAAAAAAACAGAAATAAATTCAACACATGATAATAAAAAATTTAAATTAACACAACATAAAAATTATTATTGTTATTTTGATATTTTTTTATATTTATTTCTTGTAAAAATGAAACATCTTAAAAATATTTTAAACACACCAATGTAATATATTAAACAATTTTATTATTAACTGATTAACACTTTAAAAAAATACCCAATAATTATTTATTTATCTTAGATGAATTGATGAATAATAAAATTATTAATACACAACATTATTAGAAGAAAAATAATATTTTAATATTTTTAAAAAATAATAATATAATATATCTAACCATTTTATTATCCATCAATCATCGACACCTTAAGATAATACCCAGTAATGGTTATAAACACCTGAAACAATACATAGGAAAGTGTGTAAAATAGATATGGCTTGACCAGTGTTGCATCATGTTCGGATTGGACTTTGGCTATAAAAATTCCAACTAATCGGGCTTGTCTTAGGCAATGGAAACAAATATGTTTTTTTTTTTAAAGTTGTTTATCTTTTTAATTTTTTTCTTGAATCAGAAAAAAATCTCACGCCAATTTTAAAAGCAAAAAACAAAAAAGCATGATTCGGAGGCTCTTTGATTAATTAAAGCTTTGGTTGTATAGTGAAATGACAACATTACTTTTAGAAGCAGAAAAATTAAAATAGGTGTTCGAGGGATTTTTCATATCTTTATCATGATTTTTCAGTTGTAACCAAGTTAAATAAAAAAAATTTAATCTTTTATCATGGTTGGAGGGCTTTTTTGTATTTTCACGCTAGGACAGGAAGGATAAATAAAATTTGCCCCGTTAAATTTAAAAAATCTTGTTTTATTTTTTAAAAAAAGGTGAACAAAAATCATTACAGCTATAATCATGTGTGCAGTGATAAATTGAATAAAGTAGGTGCAACGAGGAATGCCATAAGAGCTTGATTTTGTTAACAAAACGAGAA